AGAGAGAGCGAGACACAGAGAGAGAGAGCGAGACACAGAGAGAGAGAATATCAGACAAGTGTCGCTCCACCAGCTAAGTCACATGACGTCCACGAAGAACTCGCTGGGGTTTCCCATGGCCATGTGGAAGGACTGGCGGCTAGCGGTGAGCTCAGGAGGCACCGAGGCCAAGTCGCGGACTGGGGGTGCTCCGGGGGGCACGGCAGCAGAAGACGGCGACTGGGGCACCATCATCACCATCAGGGGGTTGTACTGCAGCGGGACCCCCGGCGGCCCGTAGGTATGGACAGAATGATGGGAGCGCACGCTGCCCATGACCGAGTGGTGGTGACTGCGGTGGCTGTGCTCGCTGTTGGCAGCCGAGCGCTCGCTCCCGGCGTGCTCGCGGCGCACGCTGCTCCGGGTGGAGTATTCTGACTCACTGCCACTGCCGGACTTGGAATCCACCGTTTTACTGTCCTTGTCTTTGCCCGTGCGCCTCTCACTCTCGCTGCGGTTGGACCCACTGCTCCGGCTTCCTGCAACGGAAGAAATCACAGATCTGTAAGGAACGGTGACAATGTTACTGCATGAGTGATCGAGCTTAATCTCGGCGAACACGTCCACAACTCGAGCTACAAAACTTCTCAAAAAACTTTAAACACCTACAAGCGCAACATCTTCAAACTGGCCCGCAGGTGGGAAACAAATACCATCCAATTGAGTGCGAACAACTACACTTCCTGCAAAAATGCCTCAGAGAGCAGGTACTACCACAGAGCTTAAAATATAAACCACTGATCAACAGTCCACAGGCACGGAGGACAGCGGAACATGGCCACATAATGATAAGGGTTATGATCAACGATGTCCACAAATACGAGTGGGAAATTGTGTGCCAAAAAACTCTGTACTCCAACACAGCCGACAAGGAACGGACATCCACGCTGGAAGAAGCCATCAGCATACAACAACAAAAGACCAGGACAAAGAAAAGAATAGCCCTTCAAGAAAAACCATCCAAAATCACCCACATCAACAACACAGATTCATGGATTAAAAACATCTCGGACCGGCCACTCAAGGAGACTGAGACTACCACCCTAGTACGCGGACTGAATTATAACCACAGAGACACCAAAAAGACTGACTTCCTGGCTGCGCTGGAATCGACACTAAAGGGCAACGGACTCACGGAAGAAGTACAACAGACCATCAGCCAGACAACGGAACTCCATCAACAAACACATTGAATTAGACCCTGTGTACAAACCACTGGGAAACAGAACTCGATGTAATACCAAACACCCCAGCAAATGGAGGTATATAAATAACAAGCGGGACAGAACACCGATGATGTTACCCAGCAGAGCGACGAAATGTTTGCAACCAAACCCACCGCTCGGCGAGCATGTCTACAACCTCAAGCTCAATCCCACTATGATAGGCAAGGGAATTTACATTTAATTCATCAGCTAAATGAACAAATGGTGGTTCTCCTGTGGAATGAACTTCCAGAAGAAGTGGAGGATGTGGGTACAATTACAACGTTTAAAAGACATTTGGATAAGTACATGAATAGGAAATGCTTAGAGAGGGATATGGGCCAAGCAGGTGGGACTAGTTTAGTTTGGGATTATGCTCAGCATGGACTGGTTGGACCAAAGGGTCTGTTTCCATGTTATACGACTCTGTGACATCCAAGCTTTCAGTCATCAGGACTTATGCAAGAATGCCAAATTTCAAAAGGAGCAACAATTTACACTGCACAAGAAAAGGGAACTGATTGGTTGGCAAGTCCACTCTGATTGGTTAACATGCTGCCATGGAGCATGCGTCCGTAAGCTACTGCGCCATACGCCCTTGTTTAATGTTTTAAAAAAGACACGCTGTTCCTTCCTCCCTACAGAAAGCAGATGCCTGTCTATGAACATAGGTCCCTTCTGGTAGTACAGACAGATCATTGATCAACAAGGGATTCAAGGATTATGGGGGGCTGGGGTGGTCAGACAGGAAAGTCGATTCAAGGCCTATTCCTATCAGCCAACAGCACAGTAGGTTCGAAGCGGTCAAATGGCCTCCTCCTAATGCATGTGTTCAGCCTTGAATAAGTTATCGATGGGGATGAGCCGATAGTACCACATCATCACCGTCCTTACCTGGTCAGGTATACATGTGACTCTAGACTCACAGCAATGTGATCATCTCTTAACCAGCCTCTGAAATGGCCATTCATCTCAAGGACAATTAGGGATGGTGTTGCCACAATGCCAACATCCCACAAATGAATTAAAAACTGAACTGACCAAGAAACCTACAGTGACAGCAAGTGGCCGTCTATGAAGGCCTTGGACCTAATGTGAACTCACCTCTTAGAGTGAATCCTGCCTCAAAATTCATCCTTCTCATACTTGGGTTCATGCTTACCACTTTTTACCCTTGCTACATATCCTTGCGTGGATCTGCCTTGAAACCCATGATGCCCTAGTGCCAGTGGGAATATCAACCCGCACAAGCGGGTTATAGGGAGAGGCTGAATAGGCTGGGGCTATTTCCCCGGGGCGTCGGAGGCTGAGGGGTGACCTTATAGAGGTTTATAAAATCACGAGGGGCATGGATAGGGTGAATAGCCAAGGTCTTTTTCCTATAATGGGGTATCCAAAACTAGAGGGCTGAGGTTTAAGGTGAGAGTGGAAAGATTTAAAAGGGACCTGAGGGGTAACTTTTTCACACAGAGAGTGGTGCGTGTATGGAATGAGCTGCCAGAGGAAGTGGCGGAGGCTGGTACAATTATATTTAAAAGCCATCTGGACGAGTATATGAATGGGAAGGGTTTAGAAGGATATGGGCCAAATGGGACTGGATTAATTTAGGATATCTGCTTGGCATGGACGAGTTGGACCGAAGGGTCTGTTTCTATGCTGCACGACTCTATGACTCAAAGCTACTCAGTGTTTCAATGAACCAGCAAAACCTCCTAGCAGAGGCACAATGTCCCAAATGGCGTCGTGTTTCCCCAAATCCCTTACTCACCTTCACTGTGTTGGCTGCCGGCACTTCCTCCTCCCCCATAGCTGTAGGTAGTTAGCTCATGGTAACTGGGTGGCTGTGTGGAGTAAGGGTGTGGAGGTGGGTAGGGATATTGGAAGGAATGCATTATTGGCCACGGGGTGGTGCCCGGGTGAGGCAGGGGGGCCAACGTGTCCTGGTCCGAGGCCCCACTTGAACCATCATTGTCATTCAGGGAGAGATTGGCCAAGTCTGCGTTGGGAAAGAAACACGAACCAGTTCACAATGCCACAACATAACCAAACCAAAGAACCGCGGATGCTGGAGATCTGTAACAGAAACCACTGGAGAAACTCAGTAGGCCTGGCAGCATCTGCGGAGAGAAAGCAGAGTTAACATTTCAAGTCTGGTGACATTCATCAGTGTTCTGACGGAGGAGTTAACTCTGCTTTCTTCCTACAGATGCTGCCAGACCTGCTGATTTTCTCCAGCTATTTCTGCTTCACAGTGCAACAAGTCCAGGCAAATCAGCAGCACACGAAGAACAACGATCACATCAAGGCAGCCATTTTTCTCTCATTTTGTCCCAAACCCATCTCCTCAATGCTTCACCCCTCCGAACCTGCTGTGACATCCTCCTTCCCTCTTGCGGAAATGTATTCCACCTTCATGGTTATCTATTTACAGAATCATTCCAACAGCCCCTCTGACCCACAGAACTCCCTCGATTCTCATTCACATCCTTGGGTATTCATTCTACCCAGTGACTTTTCCAGACCTAGTTCCCCAGCAACGTACCCTCCCTCTAAGCAAACTAATCCACAGGAACAATATGCGGTCAGTCAGCCTCGAGTCCATTATGCCATTCAATTAGATAGTGGGTGATCTGTATCTTGCATCTACCACCTTCGTTCCACTAATACTTTAAGCGAAGAAAAAGCTGTCAAATTTTAAATATTCTGCTTCTGATGATTTTATTCTGGGGGATTTTGGAAGAATCAAATGGGACCGGATTAATTTATAGTAGCTGGTCAGCACAGACGAGTTGGACCAAAGGGTCTGTTTCTGTGCTGTACAACTGCAAGACTCTCTAACCTGATGCGGTCTCATTGAAGTATGAAGAGGCTCGATAGGGTGCTGACAGACTGATTCCCCAGCCAGAGGAGAAACAAAAACATGGGGGCATTGTCTCAGGATAGAGGAACAAATCATTTAGCACTGAGACAAGGAGAAACGCCTTCACTCAGGGGAATGTGAATCTTTGGAATTCTCTCCCACAAAGGGTGGCACGGCTTCCATTGTTGACTATATTTAAAGCTGGGATCATTCGGCTTGTCTCAGGGATAGGGGGAGCAGGCAGGAAAGTGGAGTTGAAGACCAAGATCACATTGAATGATGCAGCAGACACAACACGTCAAATGGTCGACTGCTCCTATTGCTGAAGAAGTTCTCAATACCTGAAGTACAGTTACACCTGACTGGAAATGTCATCTGCTTCTTGAGGTTCTGCCCTCTTGCTCTGGAATCCCCCTTGACCAGTGCGAAAGCAGCCATTTGGCCCATCGAGTCAACACCAACCCTCCAAAGAGCATCCCAGCCAGACCCACACCCCTATCCTACCCTGCATTTCGCAAGGCTAACCCATCTACCCTGCACATCGCTGGACACTGTGGGCAATATAGCATGGTCTAGCCACCCTAACCTGCACATTTTTGGACTGTGGGAGGAAACCGGAGCACCCGGAGGAAACCCACGCTGACACGGGGAGAATGTGCAAACTCCACACAGACAGTCGCCTTGGGCTGGAATCGAACTCGGGTCCCTGGCGCTGTGAGGCAGCAGTGCTAACCACTGAGCCACGTGCCCTCCTCAACAGCGCAAATAGTTTGTCGATCCAATCAAACCCCAGATTACTGCTTAATTGCCTAAATTCAGGAAACAAACGTAATCTGTGAAACCCAGTCTTTGTAAATGAACTGTTTGAGCCCTGGTATGTCTGATGGGCATCCGCTCCAAGGTCACTACATCCTGCACAAATTCCCAATGCACTCTAAGACCAGGAAAGCTTCCATCCCCTAATATGTAAAGGCTTTTCTGAAATTAGCTCCTCGAAATCTCATCACCCAAGATCAGGTGGAGAGGATCGGCTCTCGTGCACGCACTCACAATTTTCACAACCACTGAAATCCCCGAAGATGTAGTAACACTGCTCAGAAAAGGTGATCTTGTTGACTGTGTGACGGATGAAGCCGGCTTTCAGCAGGTTACTCGCATACTTCCTCGCCTCCCTGCGGTCCTGGAAGCCCTCGATGTGGTGGTACAGCCAATCCACAACGTCAGAGCCTGCGAGTCAGGAACACAAGGTTTAGTCCCATCGCTTCTGCAGTAGCAAGGTTGCCGGCTCAGTGAATTTAGACAGGGGGACAAACAAGAAAGGCAAATGGTCTTGAGTAGGGGGTCTCCAAGAGACAGAGAGAACTGAATCACACTGGTCAGTACAGAGTCACAGAGTGAGTAACCCTCCTTATCCTGTTGAAGGGTGACTCCAGACAGTTACACTGTGATTAACGCATATACTTCTGAATAGACCGTGGTCACGTACAGATAATGACTAGCCCTAACTCTAGGCTAGTAAATTTGTAGTTACACAGCAAAATAACCTTGTTCCTGGACAAGTAGGAACCTCAGGCAGTTAGACCATGAATGAGCTGTATGCCACATTGAAATATTATGGTTACATGTTAATTGATTTCCACCTTGATGAGTTAAAAGGATCTCCACATCTGTTTGCAGTTAACACCACTGCAGTGCTCAGTGGTGTTGGGTGATAAAGGACTGTTCAAGAAATAACCCACCTAAGAATGCATTGGGGATTGTAATCTTCAACCACATCCTGTCTCGAACCTCAAGGCCAGATTCTGGGGAAGCCATTGCCTTAGCAACAGACATCATATCCGTGTGGATTGATAGGTTAAAGTCATCAAAACCTGGAGAAAGATTTTGCAAATTAGTTACAGCACAAGAATCGCCACAGATCTAAACAGAGACCTCAAGCCCAATGCAAACAGAATATTTATTCCCTCCATTTATTCTTGTCCTTCATCCTGATGTCTATAAAATGACTGGCAGACGCTGGGAACTGCCCGCTAACTGGAGATGGAGCTAAGCTCTCTCCTGTTACCACGTTGAGCCAAAGGCGACGATCAAGATCAGAAGCTGGACATTTGGGGGTGTGAACCTTTACTCCAGCTTTCCGCCCCAACAGCCGTGGCTCAGCAGTTAGACGCTCCCTCACCTCTCAGAAAGTTTCAGGTTCACGTCCCACACCAAGGATGACCCTTCCAGCACAGTCCCAAGGGAGTGCTGCACTGTCAAAGGTGCTGGCGTTAAAATGAGACATCAAACTGAGGCCCATCTGCTCTGCCTAGTACATTTCAAAACGTTATTTCGAAACTGAACTGGGCAGTTCTACCCAGCATCTTTGGGACAATATTTGCTAAAATCAGAAGCACATTATATCCGGTCATGACCATGCTGCTGTTTGTGGGATCTTACTGTGCCCAAAGTTTCCTACAAAACAACAGCAACCACCAAAGTGACTTCAAAAGCGCTTCAGTGGCCCATTGGTCCAGCAGTCACAAAAGACATTCTTTAAAAACAACTTTGTTTTAAAAAAAGAACTTAGTTCTGTTCATGACAACGTCCACCATGTCCCAAAATATCTAACCAACTTCTGGCCATCATCCTAGTGGACTCGGGCAGGGGCAAGTCTCTTTGGAGAACACAGATGCCCCAAACTGACATCCTGGTCAATGATTCGGAATTAAGTTGATCAATCCTGCGTGACCGAACTAGCAGGCTAACACCTCAACGCAAAATTCCGACAACACTCCGGGCTGGCCACATATATGGGAAGAAGAAGCAGGGTCATTGCAGAGTAGAAATCTTTTCCGGCAAGTTCAGGAATGGTTGGAAGCTGACCCCTTAATGACAGGGTTATTATATGTGAACCAGCGCAACGAGGCTTATGACTACTCTGTATTAGCCACTTAGAATCCTAGAACCCCTACAGTGTGGAAGCAAGTCATTCAGCCCATCGAGTTGACAATGACCTGCTGAACAGCATTGCCCCCCACACACACACATCCCACCCCCATCCCTGTCAGCTTGCATTTCCCATGGCTAACCTGCCTAGCCTGCACATCCCTGGATACCGTGCGACAATGTCCCATGGCCAATCCACCTAACCTGCACATCTTTGGACTGTGGGAGCAGCCACAGGAAACCCATACACACACGGGGAAATTGCGCAAACTCCACAGTCAGTCACCCGAGGGTGGAATCGAACCCGGGTCCCTGGAGCTGTGAGGCAGCAATGCTAACCACTCAGCCTGGCATGCCACCCTTAAATCCTGTTCATGTGACAATCTGTGACCATGCACACCCAGTTGACTTTATATATATTTGCAGCACAGCGAAGATTCACCAGATTGGTCTCTAGGATAACAGCACTGCCCCATGACAAGAAGTCAAGTAAACGTCAAAGATATTCTCAGGAGCTTAGGAACACAAGGGGTGATTCATAGCAACATTCAAGGTTGTGAAGGGGTTGGACAGGGTAGATGGTGAGGGATTATTTCCAATGTTTGAGGAATCTAAAACAAGCGGGGAACGGAAGACAGATTTTCAGGAGAATTGGCCAATCATTTGGGACTGAGAGGTGGAGGATTTTCTTCATTCGGAATCTTTGGAATTCTCTAGCCCAGAGGATTGTGGATACTGTATTGTTGACTATATTTACGGGCATTATAGACAGATTTTCAGTCTCTTGGGGAGCAGTCAGGAAAGTGGAGTTGAATCCTAAGATCAGGCATGGCAGCCCTGAATGGCAGAGTAGGTTCAAGGGAGTTTGAATAGTCTACTCCTGCTTGGTCACTGGGCCTGAGAAGGCACACAGTGCGATCCAATGTAGTGGCACCCATGTTCCACATGGGTTGATGCTTGCAATCGTCATTACTGCCACCACATATCAGTAGGTTTCATGGGTGTTATGCCAGCGATCTGAGACAGACATTAACCCAAATTACACCATACACAGGGTTCAACCCTCTTGCTCGATACAGCCGAACCACTGGATTCACTTACGTTCGGTTTCGGTAATGGAGCTGCTCGAGGTGATAGTGCTCATGGATGAGCTGGCACCATAAGCTGGATACGCACCAGTCAACGCAACAGAATGAGACACCCAGGCAGCGGGATCAATAGGTCTGACTGGCTCATCTACAGGAAGAGGAACAGAGAATCGCATCAGTGTGTGTAACAGGGCATCAAGGAAATAGAAACTAGGATGGAAATTGGAGCAAGCTAGTAATTCAACAAAGGGTGAAACCAAGTGGCAATGCACTTCAATAGCTGAACCATTAAATTCCTGTCTGTCTCTTTCCCCTCTAATTGTGCCCGAAGACAACGGTTTGCAAACGGTGCCCAGCAGCCCATCGTCCAAGTGGTCAATTTTCCTGTCTGGGCCCTCTTGGCACAATCAATTCAAACATTGGCATACACTGCCCGCTCCTCAGTGGTCCAAGGTTCTGCCCTCATCCAAATTCTAAACTATCGCTTTCCAGCAAAGTCAGAGAGAATCAGGATAGCAGGAGGCCAATCAGCCCATTCATACCTACACTCTGGAAAAATAACTATCAAATTAGTCGCTGTGTGCCTGTTCTGGGAGCGTTTGATGGAGGACAGCATAGAGGGAGCTTTACTCTGTATCTAACCCCTGTGCTGTCCCTATCCTGGGAGTGTTTGATGTGGACAGTGTAGAGGGAACTTTTAACTGTGTATCTAACCCCGTGCTGCCCCTGTCTTGGGAGTCTTTAATGGCGGCATTGTAGAGTGAGCTTTGCTCTGTACCTAATTCCATGCTGTTCCTGTCCTGGGAGTGTTTGATGGGGGAACAGCGAAGAATCACCAAAATCTTTCAGCTTGAGGCATTAGAAAACCAACTTCCATTAGACGTCATTAAACATCAATCTCCGCAGCACAGCGATACATTAAACCTTCAAACAGCTCAAACAACACTTACTTCTGGGCAAAGTGAAGTAGCCTTGAGGTGATGGGTCCCAGCATTTGGCAACTGTTAGAATGATTGGCCTTAAAGAAAGGAAAACGAGGAGATTAAAGTCAAGCAAAAAGTGTGCAGCTTTGGAATGTGGGACAGAACATCATAGGGGACCTGGCGATGGGAAAGGAACCTCCCGCAGTCATCACGATCCAGAACTGCTTCAACAAGATTCACCTTCTTTATATTCAGAAGCAGAGTAAACATTGAACCCAACACAACTAAACTGGAAGCGACTGTTTTCTTTGTTAGAAGTCTCAACTCAGTGTGCTAATTACAGATGACTTTGTAATCCACAAGTGAGTTGTCCGTTCTGAAACTATTGACAATTTCGTTAATTGTTACATAGACTCGCATGGAACAACTGGACAGTAATCCCATCTGCTCCATGCTGAAGTTTCTGATCCACATGAGCCTCCCTGCTCCTTCCCACTTTGATCTTACCGTATCAGTGTATCCTTCCATTCCTTTCTCTGCACCTGTGTTAATCCAGTTTCACCCCTTGCCGAAACATACCAATTCCATCTGGCTCAACTGCTCCCCTGGGAGCACGTTCCTCATTCTCACACCACTCTGTGGCCACCTAAACACCCTACTGGACGTACCTAGTGACAATCTTATATTGACGGTCCCTGGCTCTGGTCTTGCCCAATCCACCAACATTCCCAAGTAATTCAACAAAATGTTTTAAAATCCCAGTAGAATTTTAAAAGCTTGCAGCAAGTCTCGCAGGTCCACAGTTCCTTGAAAGGGGAGTCACAGGTAGACAGGGCGGTGAAGAAGGCGTTTGGTATGTTTGCCTTTATTGGTCAGTACACTGAGTATAGGAGTTGGGAGGGTCATGTGGTGGCTGTACAGGACATTGGTTAGGCCACTTTTGGAATACTGTGTGCAATTCTGGTCTCTCTGCTACAGGAAGGATGTTATTTAACTAGGAAAGGTTCAGAAAAGATTTGAGGATGTTGCTGAAGTCGGAGGGTTTGAGCCATAGGGAGAGACTAAACATGCTGGGACTATTTTCCCTGGAGCGTCGGAGGCTGAGGGGTAACCTTATAGAATTTTATAAAATCATGGATGGGATGAATAGACAAGGTCTTTTCCCCAGGGTAGGGGGGCCCAAAAATAAAGGGCATAGGTTTAAGATGGGAGGGGAAAGATTTAAAAGGGACCTAAGGGGCAACTTTTTCACACAGAGGGTGGTGCGTGTATGGAACGAGCTGCCAGAGGAAGTGGTGGAGGCTGGTACAATTACAACATTTAAAAGGCATCTGGATGGGTATGTGAATAGGAAGGTTTAAGAGGGATGTGGGCCAAATGCCAGCAAATGAGACTAGATTAATTTAGGATATCTGGTCAGCTCGGACAAGTTAGGGTCTGTTTCCGTGCTCTACAGCTCTATGACTGCAAGTCTCCTTAGGGCATGTGATAACTAAAACCAAAGAAACAGGATAGTACAGAACTGGAATAGCACTGGAAAGAGAGACATGCTGTCAATGCTTTTTATCTCACGCCCATCAGGATGCATGCAAGAATGCCAAGTTTCAAACTATCGCAACCTTTTGCACCACAGAAGGAGAGGACGCTTGTTGCACGAGGCACTGGCCGTGGCAAACCAGTCAGTTTCTCAGGGTCCTGGGGCCTTCAAAAGAATACAAAGATTAAACGTGCTTCTGTTTGCAGAGAACGAGCCCCTGTATACAACCCCCAGGTTGGAGTTTCCACTGTTCTTCCTTTTAAATATATAACACTGCTTTCACCGGTTACTCAACCTTTCCATGTTGCACTGACCCTTGACAAGAGAGGGTGCTGAATGGAATAGAAAGCAGGCAATGGCCTAGTGATATTATCGCAAGTATTAATCCAGAAACTCAGCTAATGCTCTGGGGACCCAGGCTGGAATCCCGCTACAGCAGATGGTCGAATTTGAATTCAATTAAAAAGAAAATCTGGTATTAAGAATCTACTGATCACCATGAGATCATTGTCCATTGTTGGTTCACTAATGTCCTTCAGGGAAGAAAATCTGCCACCCACACCTGGTCTGGCCTACACGTGAATCCACATCCACAGCAGTATGGATGACTCTCACCTGCCCTCTGAAAGGGCCTAGCAAGCCATTCAGTTGTACCGATCGCTACAAAGACTCAAAGAAATGAAACTGGACGGATCACCCAGCAGCAACCTAGGCACTGGAACAGACAACGGCAGAAACAGCCCTGTCGACCCTGCAAAGTCTTCCTCACTAATATCTGGGGGCTGGTGCCAAAATTGGGAGATGTCTCACAGACTAGTCAAGAAACAGCGTGACATAGTCATACTCACAGAATCACACCTCACAGACAATGTCCCAGACACCACCATCACCGTCCCTGGATATGTCCTGTCTCACCGGCAGGACAGACCCAGCAGAGGGGGCGACACAGTGGTATACGCTCGGGAGGGAGTTGTTCTGGATGTCCTCAACATTGACTCCGGACCCCACAAAGTCTCATGGCTTCAGGTTAAACATGGGCAAGGAAACCTCCTGCTGATTACCACGTACCATCCTCCCTCGGCTGATGAATTGGTATTCCTCCATGTTGAACAACACTTGGAGGAAGCACTGAAGATAGCAAGGGCACAAAATGTACTCTGGGTGGGGGATTTCAACGTCCACCATCAAGAGTGGCTCGGCAGCAGTACTATGATCAAGCTGGTCAGGTCTTAAAGGACATAGCTGCTAGACTGGATCTGCAGCAGGTGGTGAGGGAACTAACAATAGGGAAAACCATACATGACCTCATCCTTAACAATCTGCCGGCTGCAGACCCATCTGTCCATGACAGTATTGGTAAGAGTGACCATTGCACAGTCCTTGTGGAGACAAAGTCCCGCCTTCACATTGAGAATAACCTCCATCGTATTGTGTGGCACTATCACCGTGCTAAATGGGACAGACTTTGCACTGATCTAGCAACTCAATACTGGGCATCCATGAGGTGCTGTGGGCCATCAAAAGCAGCAGAATTGTACTCCAGCACAATCTGTAACCTCATGGCCCGGCAAATCCCACACTGAACCATTACCGTCAAGCCAGGGGATCAACCATGGTTCAATGGAGAGTGCAGGAGGGCACGCCAGGAGCAGCACCAGGTATACCTGAAGATGAGGTATCAACCTGATGAAGCCATCAAACAGGATTACTTGCCAAACAGCATAAGCAGCAAGTGATAGTCAAAGCTAAGCGATCCCACAACCAATAGATCAGATCGAAGGTCTGCAGTCCTGCCACATCCAGACGTGAATGCTGGTGGACAATTAAACAACTCACTGCAGGAGGCTCCACAAATATCCTCACCCTCAATGATGGAAGAGCCCAGCACATCAGTGCAAAAGATAAGGCTGAAGCTTTCGCAGCAATCTTCAGCCAGAAGTGCCAAGTGGATGATCCATCTCGGCCTCCTCCAGTGGTCCCCAGTATTACAGATACCAGTCTTCAGCCAATTCGATTCACTCCACGTACTATCAAGAAACGGTTGGAGACACTGGATACTGCAAAGGCTACAGGGCCATGACAACATTCTGGCAACTGTGCTGAAGACTTGTGCTTCAGAACTTGCCGCTCCCCGAGCCAAGCTGCTCCTGTACAGTTACAACACTGGTATCTACCTGCCAATGTGGAAAATTGCCCAAGTGTGTCCTGTACACAAAAAGTAGGACAAATCCAACCCAGCCAATTACCGGCCCATCAGTCCCCTCTCGCTCATCAGTAAACTGATAGAAGGTGTCATCAACAGCGCTATCAAGCACCACGTGCTCAGCAATAAGCTGCTCAGTGACACCCAGTTTAGGTTCTGCCAGGGTCACTCAGCTCCTGACCTCATTACAGCCTTGGGTCAAACATAGACATAAGCACTGAATTCCAGAGGCAAGGTGAGAGCAATAGCCCTTGACATCAAGGCTGCATTTGACCAAGTGTGGCATCAAGAAGCCCAAGCAAAACTGGAATCAATGGGTATTGGGGTGGTTGGAGTCATACCTGACACATGGGAAGATGGTCATGGTTGTTGGAGGTCAATCATCTCAGCTCCAGGACATCTCTGCAGGCGTTCCTTGGAGTAGTGTCCTAAGCCCAACCTATCAATGACCTTTCCTCCATGATAAAGTCAGAAGTGGGGATGTTCGCCGATGATTGCACAATGTTCAACACCATCTGTGACTGCTCAGTCACTGACGTAGTCCACGTTCAAATGCAACAAAATCTGGATAATATCCAGGCTTGGGCTGACAAGCGGCATTTAACACTCAAGTCACACAAATGCCAGGCTATGACCATCACCAATAAGGAACAATCTAACCACCAACCCTTGGCATTCAACGGAGTTACCATCACTGAATCCTCCACTATCAACACCCTGGGAGTTATCATTGACCAGGAACTCAACTGGACTCACCAAATAAACACAGTGGCTACAAGAGCAGGTCAGAGGCTAGGAATACTGCAGCGAGTAACTCACCTCCTGGCTCCTCAAAGCCTGTCGACTATCTACAAGGCACAAGTCATGAGTGGGATGGAATACTCTCCAGTTGCCTGGATGAGTGCAGCCCCAACAACACTCAAGAAGCTTGACAACATCCAAGACAAAGCAGCCCCTGCTTGATTGGCACCTCATCCAGAAGCATCCACTCCCTCCACCACCAACGCTCAGTAGCAGCAGTGTGCCATCTACAAGATGCACTACAGAAATTCACCAAAGATCCTCAAGGCAGCACCTTCCAAACCCACAACCACTTCCATCTAGAAGGACAAGGGCAGCAGATACATGGGAACACCAACCCCCTGCAAGATCCCCTCCAAGCCACTCACCATCCTGACTTGGAAATATATCGCCGCTCCTTAATGTTGCTGGGTCAAAATCCTGGAATTCCCTCCATAAGGGGCATTGTGGTGGACTGCAGCAATTCAAGAAGGCAGCTCACACCACCTTGTCAAGGGCAATAAATGCTGGCCCAGCCAGCAACACCCACATTCCACAAATTAATTAAAAAAACCCTCGAGCATCCAGCACCATTCAATTACAAGGTAGCGGCTTTGTTTTTTTTTTATTAATTCTATCCACCCACCTTGCATCTATAATCTTTAATACCCAAACTCAACAAAATCTTGGCTTTGAAATTTCTAACTCACTACCAGTGTCATCAGGTTTCTTGTGGGAGAGCTACGAATGCCCACTCCCTGTTGTTTGAAGGAGTGCTTCCTGACATCACTGCTGCATAGAGACAACAAGGTGCAGGGCTGGATGAACACAGCAGGCCAAGCAGCATCATAGGAGCAGAGAGGCTGACGTTTCGGGCCTAGACCC